ATAGAGAAGTTCAAATGATACATTTAAAGAGTTATTAATCTCATCTTCTGCCCCAATTTTTCCTATTCAATTCATTCTAGTAACACGATATATAATAACTGCAAGCCTAACTATGAAATATTCATTCAGTCAAGTATACATCATTTTTGCTCATTTTATGTTTCCTTTTTATCTCTTTCTATTTGATTCTAATGATTTGGTTATTGTATTAATCTGTAGGTGCATCCAATGTGTACCACTTGTTTGCATTACACAGTTTATCAGTAAAAGGTTGATGTTAGTATTTTTGTAACATACTATCTTACTAAGTATATACGTGAATGAGCCTTACTCTCCTGTGACAATTGTCTGTCTCCTAAGGAATATAAGCCACATCTCATATTTACTTTGCATTACAAAGTAGTCAGTAAATATATATTTAATTTAAAATAAATGAATTAAAGAAAGTTAATTATCTAAAATTATTTAGGAAAAAAACACCTCTTTGATCAACTTAATTATTTCTTTTTTTTTTTTTTTTAGAGACCGTATCTCACTTTGTCACCCTCGGTAGAGTTCTGTGGCATCACAACTCACAGCAACCTCCAGCTCTTGGGCTTAGGCGATTCTCTTGCCTCAGCCTCCCGAGTAGCTGTGACCACAGGTGTCTGCCACAATGCCTGGCTATTTTTTGTTGCAGATTGGCAAGGGCTGGGTTTGAACTGGCCACCCTTGGGATATGAGGCTGGCACTCTACTCACTGAGCCACAGGCGCTGCCCCACAACTTAATTATTTCTAAAACTTTATTTTTATTGAGCAAAGTAGTGAATGTACTAATAGAAATTGTTTTTTGATTAATTCCATTAACTATTAGAAATGCTATTCTATAAGCATAAAATAAGCCAAATATCTCCCTAAAATTTCAATACTACATGATTTAAGTAATAGGACTCATGCAAGGGGTAAGAAAAAGTTGAGGACTTTAACATAACTGACATCCTTACATAACTGATACAGAAGTTAATAGACTTAAAGGATAAACACGAAAATGAAATTCTGGTTTAACAAATTGTCTCTGATGAGTTTTGCTATGTTGGAATTGGGGTTGATAATCTAATTCTATCATCTCTCATTTTCTGTGCTCTAGCAAAAAAGAAAAGAAATACACACAACTGAGGAAAGACAGTCTAGTTGCTAACAGATACACTCAGCAAAACTTTACCTGGCACCATATCAGACTTACCAGTCCCTTTGTCTTGAACCTCTTGCTGGGCTGTGCTTAAAGCCAGCAGAGTGGCTAAAAGATAGAAGGAAAGCATCTTTAAATCAGAGTTTTACTCCCCACTCTGCTGGAGAAATTTGGAGATCTCACTTATATAGATCATAGAGAACAATGACAGCATTGCTGGTAGCAGGAATAGCCTCCAAAATCCTTAATCTGATAAGGCTGCTTTCCCCAGAACACTTCCTCTCTATGATTTATCACCAATTTCCTTGTGCGCTATGTTCTTAACATTGCCAAATGATAACATGGCCTCGCCTGCCTTCCTTAACTGTGATGAGAATAACAAACAATGAAAGATTAAGATAACACACGTGTAATTGCTTGATGACACGGAAACTCTTTGGAAGAAGGATCTAGGAAGAACTTTCTGGTTTGTTAGTAGAGGAAAAAGAAACCACAAAGGAGCACCAGAGAGTCTACAATGGTTAAGTCTACTTAACACTAATGTATGAGATCTAATTTGAGATTTAACTTAGTTCATAGAAAATTGATAAAAAGTGAAGATTTGTGACATTGGCAAAAATGTTAGAAGTTGTAAAAAGGGTCCAGGAGTGTGTGGTGAGGGATTGCATTTATTTATTTATTTTTTATTTTTTATTTTTATTTTTTATTTTTGGCAGTTTTTTGGCCGAGGCTAGGATTGAACCTGCCACCTCCAGTATACGGGGCCTGTGTCCTACTCCTTTGAGCCACAGGCACCACCCAGGATTGCATTTTTTACACCTCGGAAAAGAAATCAGCTAATTTCAGGGAACTGGGGAGTAAAATGAAAAAGTTGATTTTCGTGCCAAAACATGAAAAGTCAAATCCAGTGATTTCCTTGAATTCAGGACTTAGCTCTTCCCTTTATTATCTCTGTGAACTTCTGTATTAAAACTGAGTTTATCTAAGTGCTCTCTAAAAATGTGTACTTATCTCACATGCTGGGTACATAAGGAAATTTTGAAAAGGTAGAAACTTTATCAATTCTCAATGAAAAATTGCTCCCCATGGAGGGGGAAACGGTGCTAAGCCATTTATCCCTAAATTGCCTTGGGGGTGCTCCCACTGAATAGGCACACTGTAGGGGTGTGTGGCACACCTTTCAGATGCAGGACACAGCTCCAAGAGGGACTCCACCTAACAAATTCAAATATTGTGATTTGGCTGTACTCTCACATTAACCTGAAATAATAATAAAAAAAAATTACCACCACCAGCCCAAAGATCTTTTTATAGGCATTAGGAAAATCTTTGATTGAGAGAACACAACCAAAAAAGAAAAACTTTCTTTTGTTCTAAGTAATAGAATATAAGACCTAAGGGTTTATGTTCTGAAAATCTGCCCTTTTAATTTACTAGCTGTGTAATTTTTGCAAACTAATTGACCTCTCTTCAGCTATAAAAAAGAAAAAGTATTAATTAATGGCATTTTTTAAATATTCAGTAAGATTACATGTATAAGGGGCTTATCCATAAATGGTCCATAAAGACTAGTGATGATTTTTTAAAATAAAACCACCACGTTAATGTGTTCCATGGGTGAATTTCTACAAATATATTACAGCTTTATCCAAACATCCACTTTCTTCTTTTCAATTTCTTTATTGTTCCAAATAGTATACTTGTTGAGCATTTATAGCTGGCATGCACTGTGCTAAGTAATCTATCCCTACACTTGCATCCTTACATGAATATGTGCTATTATTATTCCCATTTTGCAAGTGAGGACACTAAGACCTCTTCAAGGTCACACAACTAGTGATCAGTGAGATTCGCGTTCAGGCAGTCTGATTTCAAAACCCACAGCATCTTAGCCCCGATTTTAGTTATGATGTGTATTTGGATTAATTAATAGGGGACATAACACAAGCTAGAAAGAGAAAAAAGGGGAAAAAAACAGTATTTACCAAGCCACCTCTTTGTTGAGATAGCAAGGCACTCTGCTCATTTACTCCTTGTAAAAACCTCATAAGCTGGGGAATTTTCTTCCCATTAGATAGGAGAGAAAATGAAGCTTACAGAGGTTGGTTGCCCAAATTCATATGTTAACAGACTACCGTAATACGACACCATCCAAAATATCTGTGGCTTATTAAACTTCCTTCTCTTTATGCTTATGTCCTGACAGTTCTCCTGAGAGAGAAATCAGACAACACTCCTTCCTTTGCTGAAAGAAAATACTAAGTAACTAGATTGTAGTTCTTTGGCTTGATTCACACAATTACAATTTGGATAGGAAGATTATTAAAATTTCAGTTTAGAAATTTTTAAAAGGTATATTCTTCAAAGCAGTATAAATAAGAAAACCAGTAGAAGTTGGGGAAACCATCGTCTCAGCTTGATACTATTTATCCAAAATCAACACCAAATGCCTTTAACTATAAACAGCAAAGCTTGATTCCATATGGGGTATTGGAATCTTTCATTTCAAATCTGAATCCTCAAAGCTTCAGCTCCTGAAATGTTACTTCTTTACCTAAAGTATAATTAAAACTATCTCTCAATAGATACGGCCCTTTCATTTCTTCCTTTAAAAATATAAAGTTTTATTAATTTAATTTTATCAATCTAAACTTTATCTTAAAATGATAAAGCAAAAAATGCTATCAGAGTGGGAGCGCTGGTTCACATCTGTAATCCCAGCACTCAGAAGTAGAGGCAGGTGGATTGCCTGAGCTCACAGGTTCCAGACCAGCCTTAGCAAGAATGAGACTCTATCTTTAAAAATAGCCAGGCATTGTGGTGGGCACCTGTAGTTCTAGCTACCCAGGAGGCTGAGACAGGGAGATCACTTGAGCCCAGGAGTTTGAGGTTGCTGTGAGGTATTGATACAGGATTCTACCACTCAAGGCTAGACAGGGAGCCCCCACCATTCTCTGGGCCCAGGTGATCTCAGAGGTCAGACCCCCATTTCCAGGCACAAGCAGACTGCCTTTTTCAGGACACACGCTCTGGGCTCTGATAAAATCATGAACAAAGCAGCCTGTGAGGGTTTTTTTGAGTGGTTCCACCTTGGGTAGGACCACACACCCTAATCCCTTCTCAGGGACAAAAAATTATAAAGGACCTGATAACCTCACCCTAGTGAAGGAGGAACTACATTCATTCATTTGTTAATGCACTCATTATCTACCAACTGCCAGCTGTGTGTAATCCTCTACATCCCCAGCTGAAAGAGCCCACGTGGAGACTCCCGAGGAGTTCGTCAGTTCTTTCCCCCTTCCAGAAGCTCTGGTACTTTTCACTTCTTCTATATTCCTTTCTAACTTCTAATAAAAGTCCTATCTTACCACTGATCTGTGGTCCGTGGGTTCATTCTTCAAATGCTCCAGACCAAGGACCTACTGACGAGCGAAATTCCAGTATTACTATGACACCAGGGCACTTTACCCCAGTTGCCAACTGAGACTCTGACTACAAAAAATAAATAAATAAATAAAAATATTATCGGAGAATAATTTTGCTCTATCTTTGTCTCCATTACAGCCCTTTGGGAATTGGTGAGTCTACAGAAATAATCAGCAAAATGTAACCGAACCCTCAACAATAAATTGTGTCCCACAAGGGTCCCAAAACCTAAGAACAGGGAGGTCAAGGCGCAACATTATCACCCTTATTATTTTATTGCCACGGATTATTCATGACCTGTAGCCTCGTTCTCAATGACATACAACATCTCCTCATTATGAAAGCTGTCCATCACGGGATTCAGAAAAGGCTTCCCATTCATATTTCTCCAGGTTATTGAGATTGGCAGGAGAGCTGGCCATTCAAAGAAAGGTTAAAATACAAAAGTGAATACCACTTGGTGGAACAGGAAGAGAAACACCAGCAACTTCTGAAGACTGTTATTCTGACTGAAAAAGGAATGATTCTGATTTTAATTCTGATTTAAAAGAGCATGACATTATTCAAACTCTACTGAGCCTTTGTTGATGATATGTGTTCGGCTTCTGTCCATAAAAGGGTTAAATATTTAAGTTCATTTCTTATTTTTTTCTCTTTATACTCATATCACACTGAGCCTCCGAGAGTTTCTTCAAAGCCAACCACCACATTCCTGCTACTAGACAACAGAAAGTAAAAGGACTATAATTATTTTTGTTGGTTAACCAAATGTGTTGCTTTGAAGCATTCTTTATGGAGGCCAATACCCATTCAAATTCAGTATGCTGAGTTTCCCAGTGTGTCATCCTAACTTTTCTTTTTTTCTTTAACAAATACTTAATCTAAAGGTCTGCAATCTGTTATAGGAAGTTGTAGTCTCTCTTGGAATGAACACAGTATCAAGGTGTGAAGGACCAATGGAATAGCATTTTGTGATCTATTCTCCTGCCTGAAAATAGTTACCCTACTCCTACATGATAACTCAGATATAATGATCACATCTTTACGACATATAAAGACTTAGATTCTTGAGAGAAAAACACAAGTTCTCCACCACACACCCACACCCACGCTGGGCTGTGTTAGTTTGGAGAGCACAACAAAATTTTTACAAAACAGATCAAGCAAAATGCCAAAAAAGAGGTACTAGTTACAGGAGATGTGCCTCAGGGTTTTCTAGAGGCAGAGGCAATCAGGGTAAATTAGTTCTGACTGCTTTAAAACTGCTTGAGCTGACCTATAATGCTCTTCAGCTAATTATAAATACTAAAATCTCCTCTTAGTGGAAAATTTTAATATCATTAACATAACTTGGGTTGCATGCCAACCCATGATGGTTTTACTGGGCTTGTTTTGCTTCAGCGGGAACACAGGATGATACAATGAAAGAGTTCTCCGCACTCACTGGGAAAGGATTTCAGGCAGCTCCAGGAACGGGTGGATGAGGAGCCTCCTCTCCAAAGAACTTCCACCACCGCACAGGAGTGGGTGCCAGACATTCGTGCCCTGACTAGGAGTAGAAGTCCAAAGGATTCCTGCACCAACCCAGAGTGTATACCTAGAAAGTTCCTGTCCTCACCAGGACAGAGTACCCAGAAAATTCCTGTGCTGACCAAGAGTGAGTGCCCAGAGGATTCTTGACTCGTCCTCCCAGCCTCTAGTAAATTCATCTCACTTACCAAAGTGGACTTGT